CGAAGAATCCTAGAGGGATCGGTACTTATGCAAACTTACGTGGTTTACACCAATAATCTCCTGCAGCATTTTGCCATGGTTTTTCAGGGACCAAACCCCTGAGCCGCCAGGACCCTGGATACAGATTTAAGCGCACCGTTGATGTCTTGGGAAGAGATCGTGACAAGTTTGCTTACACCAGGGTTAAAGATGACTGGCCCTCTATAGTCAAGTTTGTCGGTTGCCCGGATTCTCGTAATCGCGAGTACAACTCTGTGGTCATCAGACGGTTCTTGCCAGTCCATGGGGACCTGAGAGATGTTCTGTTAGACATGCTGGGAGTTTTGTGGAGACGGCTTCTCGGGCACTAACGTCTAGTCTAGCGCAGTCATATTCTCCGTTCTCGAAGCAGCTGTGCCACTCCAGGGTCCGACTCGGCTTGATCTGTAGAGCTTGTCAGTTCTTCGAGATCAATCTCGTGACTGGTATTCCGACGTACGCTTGACCAGGTCCATTCTGAATCAGCACTTTGTTTGGGTGTGCTTCCGCTCCGGGCTAGGAACCATGGACTCGGGAAGAAGTTCCCTCTGATAAGCGCCGTAACAGCGAGTACTGCTAAAGCAGCGGTGACCGCTGTTCTACACTTGCTCCCTGGCCTGATAGCCTCTTTGGGCCCCGGAAATCCTGAGGGAATCTTGCTGTCCATGGCAGTTTAGCACGATGTTCGGCTTAGTGATAGCCTCGGAAGTGATTCCAGTCAGACAGCGAGGGAAAGGGGATAAGAAAACGTTGAGCTACCCGGACCGGCTGTATTTCACAATGAGCCCAGCTGATCTTTCTGTGGGGGTCCCATGGTTCCCGGATCACCGACTCAGCAGCCAAACACGACTCTTGTGAAAGCCGGTATCTTGCTGGCTTGTTTAGGATTAGCGCTGTCCTGTGCGTGAGCGGTCTCTCGAGTGAGCCCAGTCTTGGCTCGTACGAATCAAGGGTAGATAGGGGGGGAAAGTAGGGGTGCTACGGCAGCTGTGCTGTGCTGATCCCCCAAACGTTTGTGCATTATCTTTTTCATCTGATTATCAGGGCTGTCGGGCGAAGAGAGTTTGCAGGGCGTCGGCACCCTTGATTCAGTTTCTGGGCATCTCATTTGGCCACGTTGACGCTAAATTGCAAGCCACCTCCCGCGCTTTTGAGATCAAGTGACACGGGTCTCAGAACCAATCCTACGGTCCCCCGAGATCTTGAGGTGACATCCTCCTCCTGTGGCAGTTTACCTTAAACCCAAGAAAGGTTGACCGGCCGGGCGGATCCAGAATGACGGAGCGGGCGGCCCCATCTGAGTCGAGTCGAATCTTCGGTCGCCGATGACATCGGGGGGATTCCCACCTTGAATTGCGAGCGGCTTCGGGGGAATCAGTGGAGCCATTTTGGAAACTGGCTTCAGGGTCTAACCCAGCCGGTCGGTCCATATTTGCCGAGCACTTAATCTCAAAGCCAACAGTAGATCAACACCAAGAATCCCACCGGTTTGTGATCCTCATAGGGTCGAGCATCCCCATCCTCTACATGGTAAACGTCTAGAAGCACCTGGGTCCTCCCATCGCACATCGTTACTGTAAGGGAAGACATGGTGCCTGATCCTACCCCATACATCGGACGATGTACAGATAGCTTCGGATACCGAATCGTCCAGACGCTATCACCGAGTGCTATCACACGACACCTCGGAGGATGCACGAGGGATGACAATGTCCCCAATTTGATAGGCTCCTCGCCTCTCCGCGCCGACCCCGCGCGAGCAATTGGCCGGTGGGCGCAAGATAACGACCGCGAAGAACAATAACAGCCTTCCCGCAAAGGTAAAGTAAGCACAGCCTTTAGAATCCATCTGTCGATGGGAGGTTTGTCGGTTAATTCTAAGCCGATGTTTTCAATTGTCGACCAGTCATCTGTGCTTTTTTTTGTTTCTCGAATTGCTTCCAAACAAGGTTCAGGGTGCCGTCTCAACTGATAATCATTGAACCTTGGCCAAGAAGTTTGCGGTAGATTCTGCAGTGCGGGCATGACTCAAAAATAGTTAAAGGTCTTCGCATCTGCTCTCAGTTCACCCAGCATGGGCCGACGAACCGGTCGTACGTATTCGTACGACAGTGACGAGCGGACGAGTCTACTGCCGACGTCTGAAGAAGAGAGAGAAGCAATGGGCTTTGTCACGTCGTTGAGGGGACGCCTCCATGCGGAGGGATCCTCGTCGGCAGACCCCGCCAACGGGGATATAGCTGCATCGGAAGCACCTCGGGATGTTGAGATGGCCGGGAAGACGGACGACACTATTGAAGATCACGATCATGTCAAAAAGTTCGACACCTCCGAGCCTCTTGAGTCGGGTGTCGGCACTATTCAAGCTGCTCAAACATTGTGGGGGAAGAAGGGAAGATGGCTTGTTATTGTCGGGTAAGCCCATACTACCACTTGCCTTATATGCATGTTGTTGTTAACATCTATACTAGCCTGGCTTTGGTGATGATTGTGTAGTAAGTACCATATTTTCCTTTGGTCATGGGCTCAATGGCTTCTTTCCCTTGATCCACCTGGCTAACCATCATAAAGCGAAATCGACAACACCACTGTCTACATATACAACAACTATGCGACGTCTTCCTTTTCAGCTCTTTCCAAGCTAGCAACCCTAAGCACTGCCAGCGGTATCGTCTTCGCTGTTATCAAACCGCCAGTCGCCAAGCTATCCAACGTCATCGGCCGAGGAGAAACCTACATCATGAGTATATCCTTCTATGTCTTGGGCTACATCCTCATGGCAACATCAACAACTTTCAACGCCTATGCTGCAGGCGTTGTATTCTACGTCGTCGGCCAGTCAGGTACAAACATCATGAACGACATCGTTATTGCCGATATCACTACGGCTCGCTGGCGTGGTTTTGCTCTCAGCTTCTCCTTCTTCCCATTTCTCATTACGCCTTGGGCAGCTGCCTTCATTGTCGACGACGTCGTCAAGCCCGGTGGCATCGGCTGGCGATGGGGCATCGGCATGTTCGCAATCCTCATGCCCATCGGCGCCGCATTCATCATTTCGACCTTGCTTTACTACCAAAAGAAGGCCAAGGACATGGGTCTTACCCCAAGGCAGAAAACAACGCTCTACAGCTTCTGCTCTCAGATCGACCTGGGCGGTTCAGCACTTCTCTGCGCGGGCTTCTCATTAGTCCTGATACCGCTAACGTTGGCAGCATCAACACCAAGCAGATGGGGAACGGCGTACATCATCGTCTTAATCGTGATTGGCGTCATGCTCCTCGCTGCACTGCCGTTTTACGAGCAGCGTCTGGCTCGCAACCCAATCATGCCCATGCGATACTTCCGCAACAAGACAATTGTTCTTTGCCTCTTGCTCATCGCGAGTGACTCAGTCGGGTTCGCCTGCACGCACACCTATCTCTACTCATGGTCTACCGTTGCCCGTGGCTTCGCCGCCCGAGACGCTACGTTCTTCCAATACACCAATGGCGTGATGCAGTGCGTGATGGGAATCATCGCCGGCTTGGCAATGGCATACACTCGCCGATACAAGTGGCTGCTCATCGGCGGCGCAATCATCCGTCTCATCGGCTACGGTGTCATGCTTCGCCTCCGCGGGGCTGATAACTCCGTGGCCGAGCTCTTCATCGTCCAGATGATCCAGGGTCTAGGATCCGGCATAATGCAACTATCGATTCTTGTGCCTGCTCAGGTCGTTGTGCCTCACCGCGAGATGCCACAGATCACTGCTTTGGTCATTTGCTGTTCGGTCATTGGGGGAAGTATCGGAGGTTGCATAGCTGGTGGCATCTACACCAACACATTCAAGCCGATGCTGTACAAGTATCTCGGCGCCAGCGCTTCACCGGAGCTCGTCAACTCGTTATTCGATTCCATTGTTGGCACCGCACCTGCATGGGGTACTCCGGAAAGAAACGCGATCAACCACGCTGTAAGTTCTGACGTCTTAAGAGCGGGCAATTTCGCGTCTGTTTGGCGAAGCTGACTCCATACCGCAACACATAGTTCACAGATGTGATGAAATTCATGGTCTATACTGCCGTCGGAGCTTCAGCTCCGGGGGTTATCCTGGCCTGGTTCCTGCCAGATTTTATATTACCGTAAGTCCACACATGATACAACATTTTGCAGCAGCTCAATTAATGCCTTTCACCCCTACTTACAACCTTCCAGTGACCGAAACAACATGGTTGAGGAGTAAAAGAGAGGCGACTCAATAGTTGTCAGGAATTCTCTTGCATCGCCAACTAGTGGTAACAAGCGAAGGCTTATCTTCGTCAACGCATTCATGACGGGCATACACATAGAGGAGGGCCGAGAGCGGCGGCCGAAAAGTCTCTCATTTGCTCCATAGACACAGCAACAGACGAGCTAGCATTCTGATAAAGCATTGCGATCATACCTTCTTCCCATGGCAACCTGTATTGTGCCCCGTTGAGCTTACTGAATGGTTCAAGCCGCGGTGATCTCGTCGCATTGATTGTTTGCCTGGGTCATACTACAAGAAGTCAATATTTTTTCTCGTCAGCTGGGCATGAGTGGTCATGACCACCCGGCGAGTCAACACTGCAACCTACCCAGCTATTAGAATCTACTAATATATGAGTGCCAAGTCACCGTCCAGACCCGCCTGATCTAGCGGTTTCCATATCTGAAAAGACTCTCACGAAAGAAGTCGCTGACGTGTGCCAAGCCTGGTCGCTGTGGGCACAATGGCTCAATCGTCTTCAAGGTTGAAATGATGTTTACCTTAAGCTTGTTTTTTTTTACCTGTGTTTGACGAGCTAGACCTCTCGCCCTGGCTGGTGAAACCAGCCGGACGGGTATCCCGCCAGCGGCGTCGTGCCGGGCCAAACTTAGAGACTGGGACCTCAACTATGTACGCCACCCCGCAAAGCTCGTGCGTACCCCCTCTTCCATTTCCACATTCCTTTTTCAGCTTCAGCATAAGCTTTGGCGCGATGCGGCCCTCAGATGTGAACCCGCAGTCTGTGAGCCGTTACTCGATGCTCACCTTATTGTCACTCCAGCAGTTTCACACATTTTCGAGACCATTAGGCTCAACGTCCACTGCACGCATGTAAATTTTTAATACACTCGAGGCCTGGATAGTCAGTCGTGGTTTTGATATCACTTGTCGAAACGATACTGCCCCTCTACCCCCAACTGTGATCCAGGAGGTTGGTTCCGTTATGAGACAATACATCGGCCCAAGAGAAGCCGCCGTTAGTTGCGTGAATAGGTTATTTGGATTCTCAATTGCTTGCTACAGCCTCAAACACATTGACAAATCCAGACGTTCAGCTCGCTTCAGCCAGCTTTCTGGTGGTCCGCCTCAAACTCGATCCCTCGTTCTAGCTTGTGGCGGACATCCTCCCTCGAAAATAAAATCGAACTCTAGGCTGGTACTCCAATGGAAAAAAAATAATTGGGCAAGCGTTGTGATGGCGTTGAGGCCGCGAAGCTTGGCATCGAGTGCCTCGAACCCAAGATCTCGAAAGCGAGCTCGTGGATGCACCTCGGTCTGGTATATCTGGCAACCGTATACTCATTGCCAAGAAAACACCAGCGGCCTTGGCTCGATTTTCACAAACGTGCTGGACCGTGAACTAAGACCCATGGACAGATTTTCAAGCCACACAAGCAAATTCATTCTCGCTTCACCTGATCCCAGTCGCAAGTGAGGCTCTGTCTCACAACATGAAGCCTTTAACGTTGATGCTGTACACATCTTCGTTCGGTTCGAAGAGAAAGATGAAAACTTATAAATAAGCCATCTTCTCACCTCAATTGAAAAGGGATATCCTTCCTCCTCATCACACTCACTCTCAAGATCACAGTCGCTTCTACATAGCTCACTCACACCACTCATTCCGACTCTCCCTCTCTTTTTAAGAACTCCGTACTCTCAACCCATTCTCAAGATGCATATCCCTACTTTCGGACAGGTTGCCACCATTGGAATGGCTTTCTTCACCGCCGCTGCCTTGGCTGCTCCCATCGCTGAGCCCCTCAATACCGACCTCGTTGATGTGAGAACACCACTCTATTCCCGGCCATGACTACATGCACGAATAAGCTAATATTTCCCAGCGATTCACCGATCTGACTGTAAGCTCTGAAGCATCAACGACACCAGTTCATGTCTCCCAAGGGATGACATTTGATTTGCTAGGCGCTTCAACTAACTTCCTGACCCAATAGGCTCGTGGCGAGGGACTTGCTTTCACCGGTGCCGTCAGCGCTCTTGAGCAGCGCAACAGCAAGAAGTGCAAGCGTACCAACAACAAGGGCTACTGCACCGATTCCGATGATGATAAGAAGGACAAGAAGAAGAAGCAGTGCAAGCGCAACAAGAAGGGCGATTGTTCTGACTCTGATGATGACAAGAAGGATAAGAAGAAGAAGCAGTGCAAGCGCAATAAGAAGGGTGACTGCTCCAACGATGAGGACGAGAAGAAGAAGGGCAACCAGAAGGATGACAAGAAGAAGAACGACGACAATAAGTACGATGACAAGAAGAACGACAACAAGAACGACGATAAATTCGATGATAAGAAGAATGATGACCAGAAGAACGATGACAACAAGAACGGCAAGGATAACAAGGGCGGCTACTACTAAGCTTCCCGCCTAGTGGAAGACGAGGATAGGCCAACGCATACGTCTGACTGCTTAAACCCATGCTGAACTACAATCTGTTGCCTGGCCTATGGTTCCCATCCGGGTTGGCTTGGATATATGTTCTTCACACGCAACACCGACACATCTAGATGAGAGAGAGTTTTTTTTTTCGATTTGTAACATCACATTATCACGTATATACACTACGTACATACTTATTCTTATACACATCTCTTTTTCTTACTTCTTCTCGGAGATTTCTCCCACATCGGAAGCTGCATGCCTAGTCTTACCCGTCTGCGTTTACTTAATACACGCGACTGAGTAATCAAGTTGCTTACTCAAATGCCATTCACCGCTTATATGTATTGTGCTACTGATTGAACGTTCACGTGCAGCTTGGCTTGGTACTTCGAGTAGCCTTTCTGATGCCGAACCTTTGGCTAAGGACAACCCACGATCCAGTGATGACCAACTTTCTGAAGGCGTTAGGGTCAGAATCATTCCCAAACCCATGCTCAAGCCAGCTTTTGACATCCTCCCACTCCAGGAATCCCAGGTTGTTCACCGAGTCCTCCGTGATTAGCTTTCTAAAGAGCTGGTGTATAGGTCCTTCCCGAGGCCACTTCACAGGTGCTGAATACGGGTGTTTCCGACGATCATACAGCTCCTGAGTGATGAAAGGCTTAGCAGCTTCCTTCAGAATCCATTTTTCGCTTAAGGCCTGACGAGCAGCACTGAGATTCTTCCACCATAAACTTGATCCTGTCCCGTCTGTGTCGCCCTCTGGCTGATTGTACGCAATCTTCAGGCTGGGAGGAAGGCCGTTGACGTATTCAACCAAGTGATGGTCGAGGAATGGCGGCCGGGCTTCGATACTGTGTGCCATTTCGGTACGATCACCCAAGCAGGTGAGGATCATATTGGGAAGGGCACCGCGAGTGTAGTAGTAAAGTGAGGAGTGCAGCGTATGCCACTTTTCGTCCATGTTTTTGCGCACTTCAGCGGACATGGTCTCAGCTACACTGATCCTCATATCCTTCCGCCCGTAGGAGTCCTGGACCCAAGGGGCGAACATGCCCGAGTGGGGCTGCCACTTCAGAGCGTTGTTTCCAATGCCAAGATGTCGGGATACTGGAGCCGTCGTTTCCCATTCATGATTGAACATGCCGACTCTGGTGAACATATTCTTGAGATCGTCTGCCATTTCCTTTTGCATGGCCTCTCTCGCCTGGTCATTTTTTGCCAAAGCTGAGTCTGGCCACGCGTAATCCGGCTCCAGGAGAAAATCCGGCATCAGGAATGGGTACCCGGCGAAGTGTTCATCAGCGCCTTCACCTGTGAGAACAACCGGCACGCCAAATTGCCGGGGTAGTGTGGAAAGACAGAATTTGCCCACGAAGTTGAGGTCGAAATGATGATGCTCAGTGTGGTAGACACATTCCACAAAGTTCTTTGCAAGCTCTTCCTCGTTCATGTCTTTTTTGAAGATTTGAACACCAAGCCAGTCTGCTGTCCGCTGTGCGATGTCTGTAAAATTAATTAGCCTCCATATGCGTGGTAAGGTAAGTTCATGATAGACTTGACAAGGGAACAGACCAGCCTCGTTGAAACCAGAGTTCTCAGGGAACTGGATGCTGAAACAGGAAATTCGTTTCGTGGCGTCTTGGTTGCCAAGCATTACACCCTCCTCACGAACAAGTTTTGTTACGATTCCAGCAACGACAGAGGAGTCAATGCCACCTGATAGGTAGATACCTACTGGAACATCGGCACGCAGCCGAAGTCTTATAGCTTCTACGATCCTCTCTCTGACTTCCAGAACGATTTTATCTAATTGACGTGTTTCGACCTCATGCTGTTTTTTATAAGCTCAGATTATGAGTAGGTGGCGCTTCAGGCCAGGTTGACACGTACCTTGTTCTTGTATTCAGGATCCCAATATTGATGGTGCTTGATCTCACCACTTTCAGCGATCTCCATCCACGAACCTGGCTTCAATTTCCAAACATCTTTGTAAACCGTATGTTCAGCTTGGAGAGAAAGTCCGCTGATGAGACCGGACACGTTCCACTCGGGCTCCCAGCCAAGGGGCAAAAAGCCTTTGACCTCAGATGTCAAGACAAGCTGTTGCTGTGAGCCGTGACCGACAATAGTCCAGTACATTGGCTTGATGCCAAAGCGATCACGGGCAGTAATCACCCGCCCATCTCTCTCATCAAAAATGACAAATGAGAATTCCCCTCTTAAATGTTCAAAGAACCCAGGAGCTCCGTAAATCTTATACAACGCAATCAACACTTCACTATCGCAATGGCCCTTGAATTGATATTCATGATCCCGGATGCACCGTTCTCGAATGGCGTCATGGTCATATATCTCTCCATTGACGACGGCATGGATTTTCCCGTCATTGCTGTGCAGAGGTTGAACACCGTCAGGCGTTAGGTCATTGATGGCAAGACGACGGTGGCCGAGGCCTATATTCCAAAGTCAGTCAAATTTACTGAGCCTGGGCCATATGGTCATACCAATGGTTCCATCGTCACTCATCCAGATGCCCTCGGCATCCGGCCCTCGATGAGCAATGCTTACGAGGCTTTCCGCTAACTGATTGTGCAAAGCCTGGCGACTTGGGGAGCTGTTATGGCTATTCCCATTTGATCCAGGGAGTGTGCCGCTTCGTCGTAACTTGATAGTTGCCGTAATGCCGCACATGATGCTATTTGGCGGAAGAACCAGGAGTGAGCGGAGTAGTGGTATGAGAAGAGTGGCACAGAGAGATCAGCAACTAGGTAAGTAGTGTAACTAAAGCTGCTTCTCGGAATCATCAGCCGTGGGCTTCGGAACCAATGGCGACCTCAGCGTGGTCAATTGCTTTAGAGTTCACATTAGTGAACTATGTACAACCCTACGCAGAATTCAGTGACACCCGCAAGATCCAATCATCATAAGAAGCGCGTCCGCTTATTTAATAGGCTTTCACGACATTGTGGAAACATTTCCAATTCTCTTGGCCCGTCCGAATTCCACCGCTGTCTTGGGCCAAATACGACCTTCCACATTGCGCAGACGTGGTCGCGATGCTACACTTTCTTGGCCAAGACCGCAAATGACGCACCAGAAAGGGTGGAAAGACTTGAAGTGAGACCGGATTAACAATGCGATTACGTATGGGAAAGTCTTTGAGCTCGGTCGAAACACCCTCCGGGTATTGGTCGAAGCGCAGCAGGTCAAAGGAAAGACCACATCATAAACTCTAACTTGTCCGAGGGTCAACTTATTAGATGATCGGAACATCTCAACGTCTCGGAGACTCAATGAGTCCTGCAGCAGGCCTTCGCTTATTTCAACTGACTCAAACCCGGTGGAGGTGGGCTAAAGTCTGCTCTGAAGCGGGGGAAGAATTTAAACTTTCCAAGGGTTGCCTTCAAAGATGTTTGTTGTCCCATTTTCCCGCGACACCTCTTGGCTCCAAAGGTGAAGTGTAACCGATTGAGGTAGCCATTACTCGTTCAATTATAGCTTTTCGAACAATAGCAGAGGGGACAAGCTCATTCTGATTGGCGGGCTTCGACTTGAAGATTATGTGATCGGGGAAGTCGAGGCGAGAAAGCGGGAGCTACTCAGTGCTTGGTTATTCGAGAATGTCAAGCCCTGTCGTGTCATCTAAATTTGGGACGAGACGTTACCATTCAGGTGGCATGTCGATTGGACCATGGCGGTGAAGAGTTGCAGCCCTCAGGGATATGAAGGTGATGCTCTTCGGACTGGCTCCTTGCTGCATCCGTAACTACAGCATATTAGGGTCCGGCCTTGGCGTTCTCCTTACCCGCCTTCTTACGCTATTTGTATGTGCTGCGATGTCCTGGTGACATGTTGGAGTCTCTGGATTAACATTCAATGTCTCTTGGGAGATCCTATGTTGGCTTTTTCCATACGTGTACTCAGACGACTCATTGAGTCGCAGCTGCCTGCTTGTAGCAACATTCGATGCCACGGTGGCCAAGCCTAGGGGCCGTTACAACCTTGTCCCACATACCTAAAATACAGTACTTGAAAGACTCATCTTTCAGGTAATCTGCAGGAACTGAGACCTGCATCGCATGGCGTGCTAAGTAGACTGCACTGTCAGTGAGGCACCGTGTTACCTTACGGGACTTATCGATAGTTTGAGAAGATCAGGTCGGTGAGATGTCACTGAAATGAAAGGGTCAAAAGCTGTGATGCTTTCTTCATCACCTTTTTTGAGATTATTCGACTGGTCGGAACTCTTAAAAATTCTACGTAACAAGGCTTTCTAAGCGAAGAAAGGTCCGACGCAAACAACCTGGTACAGCTCGAGGCTATGAAAGAGACAACTTCAGGGTCCCTAAGCTTCCGGGTGGAGTCGCACCTTTACCCCATTGTTCAACGTCAGGGATAAGGTGAGTTGCTCACGCCAGTCAGTCGGATCCAGATTTTCAATCCCAGAGAAGGCATGCAACAACCTTGCAATGGTGTATGACGACTCGGTGAGGGCGAACTTCTGACCAGGGCAAACGCGAGGACCACCGTTGAAGGGCAGATATTCCCAGCCTGGTCGGAGAGTCTCCCAACGTTCTGGGATGAAATCCTCAGCATCGGGCCCGAAGAGTTCTAGACGACGGTGCATAACGAAAGTGCTGTATGTGACCACATTATTCTTGGCAACGAACATTGGCGAGCGTCCGTCGGGACCACCGCCAACCGGAATCACGCAGTCTTTGTTGGCCATGCGGCTATTAGTGGCAATAGGAGGGAAGAGTCGAAGAGCTGAGATTGAGGTTAGCCAGATGAAGTCATGTAACAGGGAAGATCGGTGAGCGGCCCGCAAACTTACTTTCTTGAAGCACGTAGCGTAGATATGTCATCTGCATAACAGCATCGTAGGTCAAAGGCTCTGTGTAGTTTTCAAGCACGTCCGCCCTGAGTTTATCCCAGACTCTGGGATTACGTGCCAGCAAGAAGAAGGCGAATGC